TTTAACAATGCAACTTATACAACATTTGAAAACTGCTCACAAAATCATAAAGAAAGAGGAGATTTATGGGGGACTATTTCTTGAGGTGAAAGGATAATTAGACGAAAATTCTCCAAATATACACATTTCTTAAATTTAATACCTTGGAACTTTAACTCTACATATTTTAACTCAGAGAATTTTTCCCGTTATTATATGCTAAGAATATTACATATATGTTCAATTAATATTTTTAGAACAAATTTTTCACATCCTCAACATTTGCAAAGAAATGAAGATATATTGAAGAAGATAAGATAAAATTTACACTGTTTTTTTGAAAAATCGCATATTTTGATCAATATCTCAGAATTCACATTACTGATATGTCATATGTTAATATGACTAACATAGCTCTGCTGTTTTTGAGAAGAAAATTTTTCCTATACATTCCTATATAAAATATTGATTCCTATTTGTGGCCCAATTCTTCCTAGGTAATTGGAACAAGTTTGAATCTCATTACCTTAGGATGTTTCCATATCAAAATGATTTATCATGGCTTTGCTGTTCTTGAAATGAAGGTTTTTAGCTCACCTGAGCTGAAGGCTCAAGTGAGCTTTTCTGATCAAAAAGTGTTCGGCGTCCGCCTGTCGTCTGTCGTTTGTAAATTTTTCACATTTTCGACTTCTTCTCAAGAACACTTGACCAATTTCAACCAAACTTCCCACAAAGCATTCTTGGGTGAAGAGGATTTAAATTTGTTCACAGGAAGTGCTGCGCCCTCTTTCAAGGGGAGATAATTAAGAATTCGTGAAAATTTGGTGGCATGCATCTTTTAAAATTCTTCTTCTCAAGACCCACTGGGCAAGAGAAGATAAAACTTATTTGAAAGCTTCATTACATACTCTAGATTCAAGTTTGTTCACATCAAAACCCCCGGGGTAGGGTGGGGCCACAAGAGGGGGTCGAAGTTTTACAAAGGAATATATAGGAAATGTCTTTAAAAATCTTCTCGAGAACAGCAAAACCATGATTAGTCATATTATAATAGAAGTGTCCTCAGGTAGTGTAGATTCAAGTTTGTTTAAATCATGACCCCTGGGGGTAGGGCGGGCCACAACAGTGGGTCAAGGTTTACATAGGAATACATAGGTGTAATGGTTAAGGTGCATTTGAGTAAAACGCATTGAAGACTTCAATGGAATGACCTGACAACCCTTGGAATGGACTAGCCTAAGGGGTATATAAGGCAAAGCTTTGGGAAAGTCAGGCATACAGAAGGTAGCTGGAGAAGTTGAATGATGAATCAGCAATAAATAAGTTAAGGTATTCCATCCTAATATCAAGGAATTCAATGAAATTGAATACACAACATATGTGTAGGTGTTGAATACTCAGTATATTTAGACATGATTCCCATTTATTACTATTAGCATATAAGAGTGGGGTGTGTCCTAATTTATGACGTTGAATTTTGGTAAGCTTATCTCCCTCTGTTTTTAATTAATAAAAAAAATCAATTTTAAAGAACTTATCTGGTAAAAAGAAAATCGTTTCAATTGTCATTCTATTTCTTATGTGTTTTAATTAGTGCATTTTTCCACTACAGTATTTATTGATATTCTTATCACTTGAATTTTTATTTTTAAAAAAATTGCTCTATAGACTTCAATGCAATCTTGTTAAGTACTTACTGCTTAGTTAATTACATTTTTCAATCTTTCTTTTGGTAAATCTTTTTCTACTGTAAAATGCTTTAAATTAATATCAGAGAATTATGTATGTGATGGACGTTTAAGGATAGAGGATGGGGAACCTTAAGGGTAAAAGCAAAATAAAAGTATAAAAGTTATAAACACCAGTGGCAAGTATCCTAGGGCTCTGGATGTAATAAATCTGAAGAAGATTGAGACAACTGTTTCTTATCTATCAATGGGAACCTAGGCAAAAATAACCATTCCAATCATTAACTCGGACAGAGTAAAAGAAAAACCTATATATCCCTTGTAAGAACCTGATCATACACATTACATAGGAAATATATTTGAAATCTTCTCCCCAAGAACAGTAAGCCATTATTAGTCATATTTATACAGAAGCAACCTTAGGTATTGTAGAATCAAGTTTCCATTGTTGAAATTATCCCCCTCCCCCTTTAAAACTTTTCAATACTGAAATGACTTCTGCCCATGGGCCTCTTGTTAAAGATTCTTTTCTCTACATTCCAATGTAAAATCTGTAGATTCATTACCTGTAAGTCATTGATTGTTATGCGCCTATTATCCAAATAATATCTTTTTTATTTTTATATTCGTTTATTCAAGGGGACGTTATAATAAAATGAATAACAATACGTCATAAAAAAAATAGCATTGATAGTGGTTGAGATAAATATTTATCAATTACCGGTAAAATTCTTCTGGGATGATGATTTACTTCTGTCATGTGGCAACATCAGAGAAAAAAAAATTAATGTCCATATTTAAAAAAAAAAATTAAAAATTCTAAAATTGCGACTCCTTGATTAATGGCAAAGTCGTATTAATATTTAGTTTCCTGGTTTATGCAATGTTTTTACCATAAAAGAAAGTCTACTTTGGTTTTGTACATGTTCAAAACAAAATTAACGGCACAACCTAGTTTTAGGTGTGTCCGAGGCACATGACTAAAATCGTAACAGTCAGCGCACTTTTGATTCCAGCATGTGACGGACTGTAAATATTTAAAACTGATTACGGATTGTTTACACTCTCCTCGACCAAGAAATATCATGCTATCTGCATTATCTCTCCAAAAATACATTTCTGTACATTAGAGTTACAGAAAAGTTAAAACGACAAATTTTTCTTAAAAATATTCTGTCAGCTATATGCATGTTATTCTAAGAGGCTACATCTGTAAGTTGCTGATTAAGAAATAAAAATAGGAAAGGAAATATGAGTACCATTTTTATTTAAAATATAATCATTTCTTTTTCTCCCATAAATAGGATGATTCTTAGGATTTTTTCATTTTGAAATAAATTTTAAATACTGCAAAACTATCGTATTTGAATTCGAAATGTTGGTAACAAAATTGGCAATTTTCAAGGGAATAATTAGCAAATCTATCCTTGAATTATTTTTCAGCGAAAAAAAAAATCAATATCTGTAAAACAATGTCAGAAAAAAGAATATCCCTCTTAGTTTACCAAAATAACAAAATCAGTACAAATTTACCAGTTTAAAAAAATGGCAAAATTGATTTAGCCTTCTGCCCTTCTTTAATAAAAAATGGCTTTGCGTCTCTCTGTGTAATTAATTGATAGACATATGCTTTACTAATTATAAATATATACGTATTTTTTTTTCATGAAATATTTGTTCATTATTTGTTTCTTATGACCGATCTCTTTATATTTATTTAGAAAAAAAATTGATACTCAGAAAATGTATATAAATTTTTGAAAATGGTAATATTAAAGATGAACGTACCTTTTTGATTATGTCATCTTCTCAGTGGATTATCATTTTTTTTTTTTGGAACGTGGCAAAAGCATAACCATCTAGAATGAAATAAATATAACAAGAAATGTTTCAGGAGTTTTATACAAAAATTCATTCTAAGAATGATTAAATATTCTGAGCTGTAGGCTAAGTCTTTCAACAATAGATGAAAAAGATAAAAAAAAATATCTTGACTCATATAAATAATATATCCTATTTTGCAATTTATATTTAAATGTTTTGACATAATAATATTAAGCAAATTAAAATAACAATAAAAAGATAGAATAGATAGTAATTCTCCAATGAGAACACAGATACCTAGTTGAATATGTAATAGTTGCGAGACCAAATGGATAAAAAAGGCAATCCTTGAATACGTGAAGCAGATCTCAAGTGAGGTGAAGTAACTAAATCATGGAGAGGGATGTGCTGGTAAATGAAATGGATAACTGAAAGGGCGGGCCTGTATGGATACCATATAAAATGAAGAATTAATTGCTGTATTTTTTAGTTCTAATGATATTTTAAAACAAGTGGCGGTTATAAAACATCATCTGTAGATGATTTCTTTCACATTATCTATTAAAGACGGAGACATGAACGTCTCTATTAGAAAAGCATAGGCAGTGTTTCAAACATGTTAAAGAGAAGACAAATTTTAAGTGAAAATGAAACAAAACTTCATCAAACAAAATTAAAACGCAAATGTAAAACCAAGGAATGATAAATGTCCAAAGTCTCCCTTTCAAACCAGTTTAAGGCAGGCGCATCCTCCTTGATCTAATTGATAAGTTGGAGTTGAAGTAGAAAACGCGGCCTTGTATGATAATATTTGGAGGAGATGACGGTAATATTCAGCGGATTGTCTGGACCAAGTTAATGGGCGCCCAGTGGGATACTTTATGGAATATTTCAATAATTATCCAAATTTGATTTGACAAATAAAGACTTTTTCTTTTCAAAAATTATTCTTTTCACATTGAAAGTTCTTTAAATACAAGCTATTATTCCTTTCCAATGAATTATTGTAAAAATAAATCGGCAATTGACCATTTTCCCTCACTGATCCCCTGACCTGCAAAACAAATGGATATGGGAAATTATAAAAGGCACCGACTAGGTGTTGGGAATATTTTACTTTCACATCAAGTAAAAAAAATACATCCTCAGTGAATACCCAAAAAGGTAAGAAAATGATAAATTTTCCAAGTCCTAGACTGCCTTAGGAAGAATAAACTCAATACTCATTTGTTACAAATATCTCATACATTAATATTTCAAAAAGTATGTAAAAATTATTAAAATAAATTCATAGCAAGATTGAGAGATTGAGACATTAATATAATTTCGAGATATTTCGTTAACGACACAATTAATAATGATTTTTCAAAAAAGAAAAAAAGAAAAAAAAATCCCAATTCAGTTTTGACATTTTGCAGAGCAATATTTCATGAAATTATCTCAATTATCTCTAAAGATATGACATATTCAACTTTTGATTAAAAATGAAAAAGAATAATTTATCTATAGATGACAGAGGGGCAGAAATCTTTAGTGAAGGAAATCAACTTACCATTGCCACAACAAAAAGATTTTAACGGAACTGTCTTTCCTTTGATCCTTTCTCCAAACGACAACTGTGAAAACCAAACAAGCTTTGATTCGATTGCAAATGTGATTGAATGGGTGCAAAAAGACAAATCTCTAATCGAGGATCAGCTTCTGAGATATGGGGCTATTCTTTTCAGAGATTTTCCAGTTAATTCCCCATCAGATTTTGACGCCTTCGTCAAGGCCTTTCAGTACGAACCTCTACCTTACGTTGGAGGAGCGGCACCAAGAACCTTGGTAGTAGGGAATGTATTCACTGCAAATGAAGCCCCACCTGATGCTCTTATTCCCTTCCATCACGAGATGGCCCAAGTACCCACTTATCCTAACGTACTATTTTTCTACTGCGATATTGCTCCCAATGAAGGTGGAGAGACACCTCTTGTCCTGTCCCACCTGGTATACACAAAAATGATGGAACTTGAAAGTGACTTTGTAAACTCTTTAAAAGAAAAAGGTGTTATTTATACTCGGATTTTGCCGAACGGAGACGATCCCACCTCCCCAATAGGCCGTGGATGGCAATCCACTCACGGTACCGAAGATAAAGCAGCAGCCGAAAAGAAAGCTCTGGAACTGGTTGGGTCAGTAGAATGGTTAGAGGATGGATGCATGAAAACCGTCACAAAAGTTCTTCCAGCAATCCGAGAGGATCCTCGGACTGGAAAAGAAATGTGGTTCAACTCCATCATTGCCGTATATCGAGGCTGGAAAGATTCTAGAAATTCTCCAGAAACTTCCATAACTTTTGGCGATGGCTCCCCTATGAATCCAAAAACAATGGATACTCTTGAAAATGTTCTTAACAACTTGGCAATTGACTTCCGCTGGCAGAAAGGTGACGTTGTGATGGTTGATAACAGGCAAGCACTACATGGGAGAAGGTCATTTAGTCCTCCTCGACGCATTTTGGCAGCCCTGTGTAAATAACTATCAAAACATTACAAGCATTAAGTATAATTCATTCAGATCAACTATAAAATGAAATGTGTTACAATACACAATATATTTATATTTTTACACGCCAGAAATATTTTGTTATTTGTCAGCTTATATTTATATATTTCAGGTATGTTATTTATTGTTTTTATTTTGTATGTGAAACCATCATGTATAAAATTCAAATGAGTTTTCTTTTTTAAAACTCTATTGATCGGCTCTGGGCGATCACAGCTGAGTCTATCTAAGGCGTTTGAGAAATAGAGGCACTTGCGCACAGATGATCCAAAGAACTTCTTTGTTTCCTATGCTGCTCTTGTAATTTCATATATTTCTTAACCTATAAGAATCAATAAAGGAAATGTTCAAAATTTTTACTGGTATAGTGATATTTATTTATTATATGTTTCATGGTGTATAAAACCATTTTTTCTCTGCAGGCCCTGAAGAAAAGTAATTCGATAGTAAGTATTACTATAAAAAAAAAATCTTAATTTGATAATGAATGTTCGAGAAAAACTCAATTCGTTCTTGAGGTTGCAAATTTCTGCGCTATTTTAAATAATTTATTTGTTTTACGCTTCCCTATCATCATTTTTGAAAAGTATACTTGTTTAAAACGCATGCTAACTCTCATGCAACAAACCCAACAAAAAATGTTATTTAAATTATCACCAAGGAACTATTTACAAGATAAAAATTACACGAGCAATTGCTATTATCATAAAGAAAGTATGATACACAGACTAAATAAAAGGTGAGGATTGAACTTATTTGATAATAAGAGTTTGTAAACATTGATTTTTTCTGGAGGCACACATGAGTACCCAAGAAAGATTTTATACTAAGTTTATAGAGCTGGGTATTGGCTAGAGATTTCGTATTGTGATGTATTGCTATATTTTAAACTGTATTGCGATGTGTATTGCAATATTTTCAACAAACATTTAAATGGTATTTTCTAATTTTATTAACTTCCTTTTACATGAAGAGTGTACATTACTATGATAAATAACCATTAAAAGTTATCTTTTTGATTGGATTACAGTTATGCAAATAAATTCATCCATAAAACAGCTGTTGTCTTACTGTTTGGCATGATTGCAAACCTATCTGACTACTTTTCTATAAATATTTCATGATAGAATTCCTGATTCGATCATTTTGCCGGTATATCGGTATTACAAAAAACGTACTGCAATATGATATTTTTGGTCAACATACCGCAATATACCGGAATATCGGTATTATTGCCCAGCCCTATAAGTTTACTATCGGCAGCAGCAGTGGCCGATCTGTTTGTGGTTATGTTAGAAAGTGCAGCTGGGGAAATGAGGCGTTATTTTTTGTTGTTTCGATAGACTAATTCCTTATTGGCAGCATGCATCATAGTAATGCATGGATAATTTTGAAAATAGCTTTATTATAAGTCTTAATTATTAATATTAGTGCATTTCAGGGGTTTTTTTCAATTTCAATCACATGTGAATTTATGATATTTTACTTTTTTTTTTTTTTACAAAAAGCCACCCCCCCCCTTCCCCACATTGGAAACTCGTGATCGATTTTTTCCTGAAAATTACAGTGCTCGAAAAATTAGAGAAAATTGGAACTATATTTTGCTTTGAATTGATACAGGTGCAAATGACAAAATAATTCATTTATTGTGATGTCCATCAATCATCGGCATCATCACGTGACAAAGAGTATTATGATCAACGCACTGAACGTTTACGGCCGATTTGATGCGCATCAATAGGTTATCTTGTGAAATTGCTGGGGTTGAAATACATACAAGTTGTATAAAAAAAAGTACAGGGGGTAGATTTTAAGGTCACCTGAGTCACTCAGGTGATTTTTTGCTCTACGCTTTCGTCTGTCGTATTGCGACGTGCGTGGTGATTTAACATATTAACATTTTCAGCTTCTTCTCTGGAACCACTGAATCAATTTCAATTATGGATATATCATCTATGGGTGAAGGGGAACACAAATTGTGAAATTCATGCCCCCCTCCCCCGAGACCTGAGGGGTGTGGCAAACACTTACAAAATTTAAAGCAATCTTTTAAATCCTCTTTACTCCTGGACATCAAGCACTCAATCCGTTGTCATGATTGTAAGAAGCAGTGAGCCAAAAATTGTGAAATTCATGGCTCCAGGGTCAGGGGCTCTGGTGCTAGGCGGAGCTCTGTAGATCATATAGCGAAAGTGCATGATTTCTTTAAAAACATTTTCCTCTGCTCATGGGTATTAAGCAAACAAGCTAAGTTCATACATGTAGGTTTGATGATCTTGGTCGTCTTTTCCAAAATTGTGAATTTGTAGACCTTTGGTCAGGGGTTCTGGGTTAGTGTGAGGCTTTATTAATTATATGGTAAAAATGCTTTAATTCTTTGAAAATTTTCTTCTCTGCTTCTGTGTATTTAGCAGATAAACTAAGTGCATGGTTATGATAAGCAAGGGTGCCTCTTCCAAAATTGTGAAGTTTGTGACCCCAGGGTTAGGAGTTCAATGACGCTTCTATTGATTTACTTCTATCGGTCGGCAGGGGATGCTTACTCCTCCATGGCACCTGATCCCACCTCTGATGTTTTTAGAGGTCCGCGTTTGCTCTGCTCCAGATTTGTATTGTTTCAATTGACTTTTGAGCTTGATTAGTGTTCTTTATCTCCATATTTGATCGTGAAAATGTATTCATGCTTGGAAAATCTTCTCGGGTCCTGGGTATCAAGCAAATAACTAAGTGCATGGTTATGATGAGGGTGCCTCTTCCAAAATTTTGAGTTTCATGGTCCCTGGTTCAGGGGTTATGATGTTAGGGTGGGGCTCTATTGATTTGTGAAATTGCATTAATGCTTTAAAAATCTTTTTTCTCTGCTCATGGGTCTTAAGCAAACTAAATGCATAATTATGATAAGCAAGACCGCCTCTTCCAAAATTGTGAGTTTCATGGCCTCTGGATCAGGGGATCTGTGCATAGGGAGGAACCGTGTTGAGTCTACAGTGAAAATGCATTATTTCTTATGAAAAATCTTCTCTGCTCCTGGGCATCTAAGAGGCAAATAGAGTACAAAGTTGTAATAAGCAAAAGTATTTTTACCAGAGTTTTTGAAATTCTGGACCACTTGGTCGAGTGTTCTGGTGCTGGTAAGGGTTCTTTTAATTTGTGTTCTACTAAGAGAAGTTATTCCCCTTTGCTATTCACCTGTGATAATTGATTACTGTAAATAATGTAATAAATAGGCCAATTTAATAAAGAATTATACTAGACATTATATAATATTGTACAAAAAGTGCTTTCATGGGTTTGAATGGTCAGATAGTCTTGTAAATAATAGATAAATAAAAATGAGACAAAAACATCTTATCTTTGTACATTTAATGTTCATCAAAAACCAAGAGAGGCCAATGAGAGAGGGAATAAGATGGGTTTACTAACACTGCTAATTTTTTTCTGCATGGCGAAACAGTCTGTAGTGACAAATGAGGGTAAGTACAGGCAAGTTAATAATCTACTTTAAGATTTGTTATTGAATACTAGAATAAATATTTTGTTGAAAACTGATCATCCTATTTCTCTTGCTTTTGGGCAACATAGCTTCATCTTTCAGTTTATTTTGTTCTATTTTATATATCTATGAATCCTTTACAGTGTTGTATTATACGCAGGTGACCGTTAATGCCCTTAGGCCTCTTGTTTTTATTGAAGTTTGCTTAAACATACTAAAAAAGACCCAATCTTCGTACTAAAATTGCCAATGGTATTACCACAATACTTTACATTATCATTTTTGGAATTATATGAAATTATTTGTCGGTAAAAGAGATAACAGCCCGACAAAGATACGTAGATAGTATGTGTACGTGCCCTTAGTTCACGTCTCTAAATATGTATCTGAGACACATACCTCAACTGAAAATGAAGATAAAGGATTTGTATAAATATAACAAATGTAACGTTATCTTGTTTTGTTTCATGAATCTTAAAAACGTTTTTTTAGCCGCTAAGTATGGCATGTCAAACGTTGCAATATTCGATCTTTTGCATTTGCATTGTATAATTTTCCATTTGCACTGTATAAATTTTATTTGTATTGTATAATTTTCTATTTGTATTGTATAATTTTTCATTTGTATTGTATAATTTTTATTTGTATTTTATAATTTTCTATTTGTATTGTATAATTTTCATTTGTATTGTATCCGCGGACTGTTTATTTATTTTCATTTGTATTGTATAATTTTTATTTTTATTGTATAAATTTCCATTTGCATTGTATAATTTCTTATTTGTATTGTAAAATTTCTTATTTGTATGCGATAATTTTTCATTTGTATTGTATCCGCGGACTGTGTATTTGTTTCGTTACGAAGGATTTCATTGGTCAAGTTTCAGCCTGTATCGGGTTGAAGATGTTCCGGATGCTCAAAGCAAACTGGGCTCATATGTATTTGCTTGATTGATCGATTGATTATTGTTTAACGCCGAGTCGGCAATATTTCAGCCATATTTCGGCGGCATATGTATTTGCGTGCATGTTAGACGGTCATTGGATTCTAAAAAGGGAGCGCTGGTAGGACCTTGAGTGGTGGTAACTAACCCCACCCCAAAAAACTGAGTTTTCGGGTTTGGGCGGATTTTCTTCTTTTTGTTTTTCTCCTTTTCTCTGGTCATATTGGAAATAAATATTCTCTCCTGCGAGAGAATGAAAATAAATAATCTGATTCGACACCCCCCGAGAATCAAATGGTCGTCCCTTAGCATGCACCGCAAATAGAGGAGCCGAGTTTGTGTTTGTAGAGAGTGCGCGATCGGAATTGTGGGAAGGGTACCAGACTAAGTTTGTGATGGGCACCTGAGACCTTTATACAGACTAAATTTTATGACCAATGACATCCTTCGTAACGAAATAAATAAACAATCCTCGGATGCAATACAAATGAAAAATTATCGCATACAAATAAGAAATTATACAATACAAATAAGAAATTATAC